TTTTTCTGGGCTTGCACTGTGGTTGGTAACTGGCTCGTTGATTCAATTTGTAGGAACAACTTCAATAGGAGCAACGCTTTAGAGACTATGAAGTGTAGGTAGTTCCTGCCCTGAGAACAAGGCATTTGGGTAAGTCTTTTAAAGTGCCTCTTTATGTTTCCCGCTTCTTTATCCATGTTCTGTTGGATTTGGGATCAACTGACTTGTCATTGAGGGTTGAAATTTTATTCTTTATGGCAGGTACAACAGTGTAGGATGCTTCAGATGGAGTCCATGACACTTTTCTTTTGGCTCGAAGAAGGATGAAATTTTGAACGTTAACACTAGATAGACAATTTTGATGTTGTCTCTAATACTATAGAAGTAATAATTAGTTAGCTTATCGAGGAGAACTAGTTATTACTATGATGTAGATTGTAACATTATAGAATTATTTACTACAAGATTTGAGACTTCTGATTGTTGATAATAATAATATTATTTATTGTTACTTTGCCGCAAGAGACTTTAATATTGGTTTTTGTAATTATTAATGAGAAATTCATAATTAATCTTGTTATAGATATTGTAATTAGTCATAGGAAAATACCATGACTAGTGGTTAGTATTTAGTCACAGAGTAACCAGTCACTATAAGTAGTAAATACCGTGACTAAAGATTCACATCTAGTCACAGGAACTGGTTAGTCACGGTACATATAACTAGTCACAGTACACAATTAATCACAGAGCTTTATATTAAGTTAATTTTCCCGTAAATAAAATTATTAATCACGGGAAACATGCTTTTCAATACGGGATTTCTCGTGATTAAAAGATTTTTTTCTTGTAGTGTATGAGCAAAACAATGCATGTGTAGGTACTTCCCATCTACAACACTAGTACCCCCATGCTTCAAGCTTATTCCTCATATAATTGACTGCAGTGTCATTGGAACTAGCATTGTCAACTGTGATAGAAAAGATGCTCTTCAAACCTCATTCTTCTAAACAACATGCAATTGCCTCCCCAATGTCTTCCCCTTATGACTTGTAATTTTGCTGAAATTGATAATCTTCTTATGAAGCTTCCAATCATTTCCAACAAAGTGAGCAGTGATACACAGGTAGTTGTAGTTTTGGTTAATTTCAAGAATCATTCGTAATTTGCATCCTTCCATTGCACTTTTTCTTGAAGTATTCTTTTAATTTGCCCATTTCTTCAAGAAACACTCTAAAATAATCTTCTCTAATAGTTTTCCTAAAAGGAATCATAAACATGGGGCATACTCGTGCCATAAACCTATGAAACCCTTCCTTCTCAACAAATCTAAAGGACAATTCATCTAGAATTATCATTTCAACCAAACCTCCTCTCCCAACTTTGATCAAATTTCCAAGTTGTAAGAGTTACTTGGCTATCATGAAAAGTTAGATTCATTTGACCACTTGACTCCTCCAATTTCTTCTTGCATCTCAGCCGATGAGTTTCTAAAGTAGACGTACCATTTTTTTTTTGACAAAAAATAATCCTGTATTGATCAAAAAGATAGTTACATCCTGGAAGCTAGCCAGGCCTGGAAATCAAAAGAACGACTCATAGTCGGGTACAAAGAGAGGGCCTTTCTAGCCACCAAATGGGCTACCCTATTGCTACTCCGACCAACAAATCTAACACTAAACCTAGGGATACTATCAAAAATCTTAATGAGTTCCTCCAACACAGACCCTAACTGACTATCTCTAGCATCCGCCTTGTTGATTTTATCAATGAGATTTTTTGCATCCCCTACAAAGTTGACCTCCGCAAATCCGAGTGATTGACACCACAGAACAGCTTCACGAAGAGTAACCAACTCTACAACCAAGGGTTCATCAAACCACGGAAACTGCACACCCATTGCCATTAAAACCTCCCGATATGGGGTCAGAATAACCAAACCACCAGCCGAGTGCGATCCAGCGCAAACAGCCCCATCCCACATGCAAACAACCCCTTCCACCCAAACATGAGCCTGGTGTGTCTGCTATGGTCTGCCAGAGAAAGACCTTCAACTTAGGAGGAATATCGGCTTCCCACACACGAATCCAGCTTGATCTATCCATCCAACTAACCGTTGACTTCCAACCCCCCCTACGCTTATCAAGAGAGACTGCTAAATGATAGGCAAACTTCACCGAGAAGACCCCATCCGGGGAGTCATGCCAGATTAGCCTATCCTCTACCGGCCGCCTCGGGAGAGGTATAGTCTTGATGGCACAGCAGGTCGGTGGGTCAAACCATTGGCTAAGCTTTTGGTCACTCCACCCTCCCTCCCCCTGACAGATTACCTCAGCAACAGTCAGATTTCCCCCCTCAGGTAAGACTCGAGGGTTGAACCTAGGAGGATCTAACTGAAGAGCAGAAATCCAATTAGAATGGAGGAGCGAAGCAGACCGACCATTCCCAATTTGCCACCGCAAACCCTTCTCCAATAATTCTCTTCCATAAAGGATACTTTGCCAACCCCACGAGGGGCAGGACCGAGCTGTCGTGTCAAGAAATGTGCATGTAGGGGAATACTTGCCCTTGTAAACCTGCGCCAACAGGGATTGGGGCTCCATAAGAATACGCCACCCAACCTTAGCTAATAACGCTTGATTAAATTTCTCAAAGCGGCAAAATCCCAACCCCCCATCATGCTTACTCCGGCATATATTCCGCCAGGACATCCAACGAATACGAAAATGCTCCTCAGTCACCCCCCACCAGAAGCGGGCTACATGTTTGTCTAAGAGGCAACACAAAGAAATTGGTAGTTTGAAGCAAGACATCACATGCAGTGGCAGAGCCAAAGCAATATATTTAATCAAAGTCTCATTTGCTGCCCAGGATAAGGTCCTTTGTTTCCAACCCTGCAGACGCTCTAATAACTTCTCCTCGAGGTACCTGAACGTGGCCATTTTGGAACGCACAATCAGAGTTGGTAGCCCAAGGTATTTTTCATGAACCCCCACTGCTCCCACCACCAAAACTGCAGCCAAAAACTCCTGATCCGCGCGAACAATATTCCGGCTAAAACAAACAGCCGATTTATCCAAATTCTCCCGCTGGCCACTCAGTTCCTCATATTCATTCAGAACTTCTATCAAATTTTCACATTCTTGGAGAGTACCTCTCAGAAAAAGATAAGAATCATCCGCGAAGAATAAATGAGAGATCCGGGTTGCACCCGGGGCCACCTTAACTCCACCGCAGGCACCACCAACTCGTTGCAGAATATCAGAACTCTCTAGAGTGAGATTGAGAGGGTGAAACTTGTCCAACCTATTAACTGGGACGAAGTTAGAAATCTGGCGATGGAATTGAATCGTCAGTGGGAGGCAAAGGAGGTGTATTGGCAACAGAAGTCTAGGGTTCACTGGCTGAAGAAGGGTGATAAAAATACGGCCTACTTTCATACAGTGACCAGAGTGCGGCCTACAAGAAACTTTGTGGAGGGCCTTCGTAGGGAGAATGGGGAGTGGGTTACGGATGAGAGTGAGAAGGCTAATATTTGCCGTAACCCTCTGGAAGAGGTGAAATAACCTGAGGGGGTACCATTCATGAGGACTGTGAAAGAAGCAGACCGGAGACATTCCTGAATCCACCCTCGCCAGGTAGAGTTAAAAGCCATTTTTTCTAAAACAGCTAGAAGAAAGGTCCATTCGACTCAATCATAGGACTTTTCCATGTCAACCTTTAGAGCCATGTAACCTTTCTTACCCCGCGTTTTGATTTTCAAATAATGCATTAACTCATGACCCAAGATTATATTCTCAACAATCTGCCGGTCCCGGATAAACGATTTCTGCCCCTCCAAAACAATCTGAGGCAAGAAACAAGCCAGTCGCTCGGCCATGATTTTGGTAATAACTTTATAAACAAACTAACAAAGGCTAATAGGACGTAATTGTTGCATAGACTCCACCTTATCAACCTTCGAAATCAAAGTCAGCCACGTGTGATTGAAACTACGGAGTATTCGACTTGTCGCAAAGAACGAGCACACCACGTCCACCACCAAAGGACCCACAACATCCCAGAAGGTTTTGAAGAATTTGCTAGTTACTCCAGTCATATAACAAATGGCGGAGTCGCTTGAGGCGTTCCCAAAGACAGAACATAGGCATCCCCTGAATATCCTCCTGCCAGACATAGCAAACCATAGCTCGTACTTCCGGATTATCCACCCACCGGGCATCAAACTGGAAAAGGGGACGACTGTTCCAAGCGTAGGGTTTATCCGAGAGAAGGAGAGCGCGATGGTCAGAGACCTGGTCCGTGAAATGTTTGACCAAGGTTTCAGGGAACCGGTCCACCCAAGTCTGAGAGCAAAGGGCCCTATCCAACCTTTCACGAATGCATGCCACTCCCATCCTTCGATTAGTCCAAGTGAACGGATCACCAAGGAATCCAGGATCATATAGACCCAGGTCCTGGATAAAATCCCTCAAACTTATCGAGTGGCCCGGTTCGAACATCAGAACGACAGCTAATATAAACAAAAATCACAATATAAGAAAAATCCACTTCATTAATTTGGGAACAAATACAGAAGTTGGAATGATAAAACACCGAAGCAACAACTCCGGGGGACTACGCTACTACTAAACCACCGGACGAATCAATCGCATCCACAAAAAAATACTGAGAAAGATCAAAACCTAAACCCCGCATACGATGGGAAACAACACGCCATCTCGATCGAGTTTCTGAGAAAAACACGAGATCCGGTTTATTCGAACGCACTAGACCTGCAGTCGTTTGGAATGTGAGGGATGGCCCAATTTCCTGCACATTCCAGGAGAGAAGCTTCATTTATCGGACAGGGGCCATCCTCCACCTTCTCCTTTTCATAAACATCAGCAACTTCCACAAAGTGCTTCTTTGGTGTGGGAGGCGTGCCAACTTCACCCTCGACAGATGCCAAAGAGCGTTTGCGGGTTCCAAACACTGGGTTGGTCATGTTTGACCCATACTCATCGATCTCCTCGGCCCCCTCCTCATGCACTCCTTTATGCTCCGAATTCGAACGGACTACCTCGCCTTTGACCATACCCGATTCCATTTTACCTTGATCAATAGCCAATCCAGCCTCGAAAGACGCTACAACTTGGGAGACCTTCCCCAAAATTCCCCGACCAGCTCCCACCGAGGCGGAGACCGGGACACGTTTTCTAATTTCGAAGCATTGATTATCAATACCCATCCCCGAGCCCTCCGAGTCACTTAGCACGGGCGAGCCATCCTCCCTCAACTTCACCGCATCGGGCGCCCTCACCAGCCTCACTTGCCCCGCTAGGTGATTCATCAGCCTCCTCACCAGCCGAGATAGCACCTTTGTGGGAAGTGGGAAGGGGAGCAATAGCTTTATCCCCCTGCTCATGGATCTCCTCCCCATGCACCACACGAACTTGGCGGGACTTCCGAGCACCACGAGGTTCAGCGACTGGCAGTGGAGCAGGATCAACAACACCACCCACGTCAGCTGCAACAACCTTGGAGGCGTTGCGACGCAAGCGCCTCTTCACCAGCTTCGCAGTCCCGGTATTTGGACCCTCTGTTTTCCACACCTGGTCAGGGCAAGGCTGGGTGTCCCGACTCGTCGGTTGGCCGAGTGGAATGGCCTGCTCCTTCGGCTGGGGCAGGTCCGCCATGTCATCGTCCAAGTCCTGCTCAAGGATGAGTCGATGACGCCGGGACTGCTCCACTATTCCAACTGCCAGAGCCACAACTGCTTGGGTAGGTGACCCCCGACCTGATCGCACCGTGTTCTGAGGCCGACGCACCCCCTTCTTTCCTCTGAGAGCCGGGCTGGCAGTCTCCTTCATAGGCGCCATCTGCTTCTGCTTACCACCTCCACCAAATTTAACTTTGGGAGCCCGATTAATGACAAACCCCCTGGGGCTCTGGCGCCGCACCAGCGATCGCAGCGGCTCCATATCCACCTGCTTATCTTCCGGTCGGGGATCCATGCTTTCCCGAATAGCTGGCATGGGTTCATCCCTCTGCCGACTCACCGGGCCCTTTGTATGGAATCGTCCCGCCTTATTGTTCTCCTTCCTCCCAGCCTCTGTTACCTGCCCGCGCGGTTGGCGATTGATCCACACCGAGCTCCTCGATCCCCCAAATGCCATCGACTGCTCATCATCATCATAAATTTGTCGTCCCAATTTCTTAGTCATCATGTGGGGACCGAAACGTTCTTTTCCTTTTGGCGGGTCGAAGACACAATCACGCCGAGCATGGCCTACCCGGCCACAATGGAAACAGAAACTGGGTAAATATTCGTATTTGAGTCGAGAACCTGACCAACAGCAGAGGCAATGATTTTCTGACCAAAGAGTTTACTACGAAAATCCTCCTTAACTCACCAAAGCTGGAGCCGAAAAGGGGCCAGGGACATCTCCTCAAAATTTTGCTTGGTGATGTTCGGAGACCAGGAGCGAAGCGTCAGCAACTTGTCCTTGATGATCCAAGGGCTACGAGCTAATGGCCACTTCTTTGCTTCCTCATTCGGCAGAATAATCTCAAACAAGCCATACTTGGTTTTCAAGACCTTGAGCTGTCCACGTAGCTTCCATGCATCAAGCAAACCATCACGTAGCTGCAACGTCGAAATCGTATCATTAGTGAATAATCTCCCCAAGAGAGTGCGCGATGCCCGAAACCTCGTTGACTGGACCTCCTCGAGGGAGAATTGGACAACTTGCTCATCAGCCACGTGGGACATCGTGCGAGGTACCTGCCAAAGAGAGGAACAAGTTGGGTCAATCACAGCCTCGCAACACCCTAACAGGCCTTCCACCGAGCCGAATACACTCGGAGCCAGAGCAAGAGGGGCCTACGTAACAGAAGGAGGCGCAGGCTCAGCGAAGAGCTGAAGGGAAGACCCCGTACCTGAACGCTCAACGACAGCAAGAATTTGAGATTAGGGCTCGGCAGGCGTAATATCAGAAAGCTCTTTCTCAATGGAAAGTAGGGAGCACCTCTCTACCAGCATGGGATTAAATACTAATCCCAAACCCCGTTCAAACTCACTCCTCCCCGGGAAGTTGTTCATTCGAGTAAGAGGTTTAATGGCAATGGGACTCCCATAAACAATATGATACAAGGGAATATATTTTTCCCGGTGGGTATGATTCCACGGATAACTGCCTAATAATCCCGCAAAATCCGGGAAAGATCTCGATCCCCTCGACACCACACGACGACCCAAATTCACACGGGTCTGAAAAGAGACTCTACACGCCGTCAGCCGCAGAGTCTCGCCGGCGGGAGGGCAGGATCGCGAATCCGGTGACTCACCCACTGGCCAAATAATCGGAAATAAATGCCAAGTCTTCACTGCCAGCTCGAACCCCTTCGGAATTCGGCCGGTCAGGTTCTCAGCATCCCTATTCGGGTTTCCACTTGATTGAAAAGACTTATCAGATGTGGATAACAGCGAAGCATCGCCTACCAAATCTGACGACGGGGGGAGCCAAAATCTCCAACCCAAGAGACGACCCAACCTGCACCTTTTTGCAGGCCTTAGATTTTTTACGGGGTGGCTATGCGAAGGAAGAGCATCGTCGCACAACTGGAATCTCTTCTTTTTATAAAGTCCCTTGCTGGGGATCACCATACCCTGCGACGGAATTCGATTACACGACCGAAAACTGGTCAACGACGGCCCCCTTCTTGTTGAACGACAGCAAACATGACCGCCGCCTTGCCCATGTGCAGGCCAAACGTCCACCATGGACCTCGTCCCCTCACCATTTTAATTCTCCACGCTTCGCCGCCAAAGAGAAACGAGGATCTGGAACAGCCAGCCACCCAGCCAGAGTGACCAAGCTAAGCACGAGGAGAGAGCTCCTCGCATACTTTTTTTTTGTTTTTTGAGAATTGAGTGGTTTTACAAATTTCAAACGGATAATACTTTTCACTTAATAAAACTCACTGTGATCTACAATGTCAGTAACCATATAAGTAGACGTACCATTATAAGATGGATTAGCAGCAAAGTTTTGCCCACAAATGAGACAACTCGCCTTCTTCATCCCATCTTCAATGTATCTCTTGTACTCTTTTCACACTGGTGCCTTCAACTTTCCCCATAAACGGATGTCTTCAGCATCTTGGACGAGCTCTTTTATTAACCTAATATATAATTATCAAATTGAAACAGTAAAGTAAAATCACTGTACAAATGCATGAAATCAAATATTGCATGGACACTGGAACTTAGAAAACTCACATGGTTGATGGTGATTATGCTGTCAATTATAGTTGAATTGAAACACATACACATGCACGTATGGCTCTAGTTAATACCAAAATAGACGCATGGACACTAGAAAAGCTCATGTGAATGATTGTGATTATGCTCTCGGATGGAAATTCTTTTAACGATGTTCACAACTTGACAGTTAGTATTTATGACTCTTCTATTTATCCATAGACACAAACAGTTAGAAATCAAACATGAAAATTTAAGGTTACCTATTTGGCTAAGTCGCGAACTAGGTCGCTCTCTTTAAGACGTTCGCGGCACTGCCTCGTTATTCGCACAGCAGACTATCAGGCGGTCGCTTCCTGGATAAAACAGCCATTCTTTTGATTTGCTCAGCGGTTTTGCGTGAAAATCGGAGCTCTATGAATTCACTCTCTCTCGTGTTTCTGCTCTTCTGAGGTGTATTTGAGGGTCTAGGGGACTTCTATTTATAGGACATAAAACCTAGAATATTCCCTCTTTCTTTGGGAATAAGCTACATTTTAATTAGGAACATAATTACTTCCATAATTAAAATATATTATATTAAGATCATTAATCCTAATTATCTCCATAATATTCTTTTTATTAATTATCCTTCTTATTTTCTTATCTAGAAAGAATACGAGATCATTAATTCAAAATAGCTTTCAAAGCTATTCATTCCCAACAATCCCCCACTTAAATAGTTTTGAAACTATCTCTAAGCATCAACAGATCCATAAGATCGGGCATAAGCTAAGGTATCGCGAAGATTTAAACCTTAGCGTAGTGGTTACACTTTCGATTTCATAAGGGTGACTCGTAGTCTTGAACCCTATCTTGGACAATGTAGCACACCGGATCTTTTCATTGAGTGATATTCTCTCATAGGCCGTGCTTTTATGGCCATGCACGTTATCCCGGTTTAGTGAATGCTCTAGCAAATTTGTGCCTCCAAAGTTCCATAGGGAGCGGCCCCACTCCCACATTCACATAGGTGAGTCTATCAGAAGTACCCCCAAAGTAAATTACTTCACTCCACATAGAGTATAGATCTCATTAAGAGTTCAACTCAACCTCCAAGGCTTTGGGATTCATGCTTCAATATGCATGAACTTTTCTCAATATTACTCATGACTTGTTATTACCCATAGAACCTATTTCTTGGGATCTCCAGTCTATCGGGTCGGGTTACCATCACTTGTAATCCATAGTTCGGTAGGCATAAGTCTCATACCTTCGTGGTATTTTGGACTTTTCTCTCTAGATAATCCTTTCATCAAAGGGTCAGCTAGATTCTGTTAGGACCTTACAGGATCCACCCTCATTGCTCCTATCGTTAGGAGTTCTCTTACAGTATTGTGCTTACGACAAATTTGTCATCTCTTTTCGTTCCAGAACCGGTTCCCTTCTTTAGTAATAGCTGTGGTGCTATCACAATGAATCAACTACCGGAGGGATCGGTCTTTCCCATAAGGGAATCTCTAGTAATGACCCTCTCAATCAACTTTTCTCTTTACTAGCCATTGCTATCTCTGTCATTTCTGATTTCTTAGTTGATTGAGCCAGGATTGTTTACTTCTTAGAATTCCAAGACACAACACTTCCAGTGATGTTTAAAACATGTCCACTTGATGCCTTGGAATCATCTATAGGGTATTCTCTTCCGCATCAATATACCCTACCAATACAGTACGAAACTGTTGATAACTTATATCAAGGTCTAATGTTCTCTTAAGGTATCTCATGACCCTTTTCAATAGTAACCTACCAAATACCCCCACTATCCCGGGTCTCAATTTTATCAGATGCATCTTGCAGGCTGTCGATGCTAGTATGTTCTTACTTTCTTACACCGTCTTTTGTGCTCTTTAAAAATTATGCTAGCACCATCAAACATTTATGCAGGTGTTGAGATTGTATTTCTTCTAGATCTAACTGTGTAGTTAGATTGATCTAGATGAAATCTCTTTCATTGTCCTAGTAGTCTGGAACTCCAAATAAAACTTGCTTCGTCCATATCTTTTACCTTCATAATTCTCAAACAACATAATTTTTCATAGTATTGAAATCAAGAGTATTTGTACCAAAGATCGGCGTGTCATTCATAATGCAAGTGTCATTCTGAAATTTGTACTAAATGCACTTGTCACTTCCACTTTTAAAACCATGAGAGAGAATCTTATTATTTATGTCACTAATTCGGAGTCTATTTCAAATCATATAATGATTTGTCTAACCATAGACTCCAGAAACATGTTCAAGAATAACAACCTTTAAGATTGTCCCAATGTAAACTTCAAAAAAGAAGTTTAACATCCATGTGATGGTTGTTATTCTAGATATTGTTGAATAGATATCAAAGAAATCTATAATTTTCCCCCTTCACCTATAGCCTTACCTGCTAGGCGATCATTATACTCATAAACTAAACCATCAGGTTTGTATTTTCCTTTTACGAATCCATTTATTACCTTGGCTTCATTGCTAGGAGGTAATTGTCAAAGATGCAAAATCTTGTTCGGTTCCACCGATATATTACCCAAGGCTTTACAACTAAGAGGTAACTCTACAAGATTCTAAGTCTTACTAGACTCTACAAATTCCATTTCTTTAATAATGGATTCTCCCATGAATCTGCATATTTATGGAAGTTCAAACTTCAAACAGGCTTGTGGGATCTTTCTTAGGGTGTAAATAACAAAGTCATAACCAAAATCCTTTCGTGATTTATGGTTCATTTGTCTGTTATGAGTTCATACCCAGATTCATCACCCTCGCTAGTTATCCATTATTTCTAATAGTAGGTAGGATGTCACCCGCACCGTTTCTCAATGAATTTCACACACTAATGAGTATTTCGTTTCATAGGCTTATGTGTTTTACTATAGCATATCCAATAAACATATAATCATATGCTTACTTGTAATCAGATAGCACTGATTCTCTAATTCTTCTACTAGCCAACCAAATAATCAGAGTAATCAATGATAATGCGATAAAGCATTTCAAGCCATTCCAAATAAGCATTTCATCATGTTTACCCATATCCAATGTGTCAGATCAAAGATTATGATTCTCTAATCACATATTTATGGGTCTATTAGCTTAGCTATGGAAATCACATATCCATCACAACCATTATGAGAATGTGACCCTAGCTATTCAACTCTTCTAGATGTACGTTAAAGACGTGCATTCAAGAACCATAAGACTTTAACTTATCATCATATGCATACTCTCATGACCACTGTCAATAGTGGAGTGAGCAATACTCAACAACATTTTCTTAATAGCATATGCCTTAGTATGCTTCGAGGTGCCAATATTCAGCCACCATTCTTCAGAGTTACTAGCAAGGTTGATCTCTGCTCTTTTAACAATCATCACAACCACCAATCCTCCTCTTCAATCAAGTTAACACTTAACCAGTGTTATTCTTGTTCCTACACTTTCGCGTCATATGGCCTGATTTCTCGCAACTATAGCAGAGA